CAAAGTAAGCAATGGATAGGCCTCAGAATCACGTCTGTGGGGCAGATGGGCCTGTGTCACCAGCTTGCATTAGTAAATAGTGAGGCTGTTCAACATTATCGGACACCTCCTGTACAACAGAAACCCTTCTAAGTTGCATCTAGGAATCACCTAGCTAAACATTTTAATAACTCTGTAAAGTTGAGGACAGTACCACACCCAGTTCACAGAAGAGAAAACTAAGGCCCAGTTCTTCAGAAGTTTAGGCTCTTTCAGTGACTTCCCTGCCATCCTGAATTACCTTACCTATTGCTTTCTTTCTGCCAGCTCCTTCTAGAATTCTTCTTTTTGTTTTGGAGACAGGATCTCATCATGTAGCCCTCGCTGGCCTGGAACTAACTACGTAGACCAGGCTAGCCTTGAACTCATCGAGATCTGTCTGCCTCTGCCTCCTCAGGAATAGATTCCTTCTGTTTTCAGAGCAGACTCCCAGCTTCCTCTCTGAGCAAAAGTACATGGTCAAGATAAGAGGCATGGAAATCTACCACAGAGCCCACTAGGCCCAGTCCAGAGGACCCAGAGAAAGAACGGTCTACAGGTGTCAAAGATGCTTTCCGCTTAAGTCACCTGCCTCGGGAGGGGACCTTGGGGCAAGATAGCCCCTGAACCCCGATGAACGCTGAATGTCTAGGAGCTCACTGAATCTGCTACTGAACCATTATAGGTAGGAATCAGTGTTTATCTGTTCAGGTGAGCAAGGTGGGGTTTGGAGCAATGAGACACACCCAGGACACATCTCGGGGGTTCTGATTTTAAATGCGGTGTTTGATTGCAACAGGCTGAACCAGGTTGGTTGCTACTTGGTGCTCTCACCCTGCTTCTTCTGCAAGTTAGGAGGGCTATGAAGGAGGGCAGCAGAGGGAGGGGCTGGAGAGACTGGGAGCTGAGGTCTGGGTAGCCTCCTGAGTCTCCAGCTTGGGGAAGCATCACTGTTCAGTGGGAGCACAGGGATGCAGGACAGGCCCTCCAAACCTTTTCCAGGTAGGATGCTGCAGTTGAGGCTGTGTAAGGGCGAGGGCTCCACCATGCCCAGGGCTGGGGAGCCTGGCTTTTGAGGCTCCAGATTCCCATGGTTTCCTCCAGCAACCCCACTGTGCTGAGCTCCCAGCTCTACCACTCAAAGAGGCCACAATCCCCGCAGAATCTCTTCCAGCATCTTCTCTCCCTTCAAAGCCGCCCAGCTCCCCTGCAAGGAGCTCACCTCCCCCACAGCCTCCTTTACATTTTTGCCTACATAGTTTTACAGCCAAACAGTACTTTCAAAGGCCTCCTTTTTCATCTCCTAATTAATTTTTATCTTCCAAGACAGAGGGAGGACAACACAGGAGACAGTGTTTGTGATGTCTGCTGCTCCCTGACAATCCTTCCAGCAAACCTCCTTCGGAGCCAAGGGGCCTCCTCAAGCCACCCAGCTCCCTGCAAGCAGCCGGCTGAGCTCAAGGGGCCCGGGACCCAAGAGCTGGGTGTCCTGCTTCCTGCTGCTCCCTCTCTCACGTTCTACTCTTAGCCATGGGAGTTTTATTTGCTTATCTATTTTAGGAAGTGTCTACATGCTCTCTCTCTTGCGCATGCGTGCATGTGTGTGTACACCATATATGTGTATATATGTGTGTATATGTGCATATATGCATGCTTGTGAAAGCTAGAAGCCAGTATCTGGTATATTTCTCAGCTGTTCCTCATTTCTTGAGACAAGGTCTCTCGTTGCACATGAAGTTTTACTGATTCATCTAGACAGTCTGGTCACCGAGGTACAGGGATCCTTGCCTATCCACCCCACACCCAATGCTTGGTTACAGGTGGGTTCCTACATGCCTAGCTTTTCTATAGGTGCCGAGGATATGACCTCGAGTCTTCATGTTTCCATGGCAAGCTCTTTACTAACTGAATCATCTCCTTAGCTCCATGTGCACCGCCTAACCAGGAACATGCTAACCACAGAAATAAAGTCAACCTGCTTTAAACTTTGGATATTTGGGGTAGGGTGGGGTGCTGCATGCGTGGTGCCTATGCTCACCCCTGCCTCCTGCACTGGCTTCTCCTGGCTTTGCCATCTTTCAGTCCCACCCCTTCCACAGCACCAGACACTCAATGGATAATCTGCTGAGTCACTACAATGTGTCAAGACTGTGCTGGGCTAAGGGCATGGCTCAGCCCTCCCTGGCTTTGCTACTCCCCAAGAGAGACTGTGGAGGACTGTGGTGGGGTTCTGAGAGAAACCAACTGCAAGGACATAAAGAATACAGGCTTGACAGTCAGGTGTGGCCCAAATCCCAGCTCTGCGGTTTTCCAGCTGTGTGTCATTAGGCAAGTCACTGAGCCTCTCTGAGCCTTGCTTCCACTGTGTGTAACATGGAGGGGATAAGACTCGTCTGCCTTGCAGGGTTGTTAGGAGGAGAAACAGGTGGAGTGTGGGCACACACCTGGGACACCAGGGCTGGTTGCAGAGAAGGATTAATTGGTGTCAGGAGAGCATGGGAGTAGGGCTGGTCTTGCCTGGGGACACTCAACTGCTACTTCTAGCTAATGAACCCTGGAGCCCCAGAGTCCTGGCTAGGGAGCAGGCTCTGGGTCCCTCCTCTGCCCTCCTCACTGGGCCGCCTGCAGGGGAGAAGGGCAAGGGTGCAGGGGTTGCTTGATGCTGAGGACTGAGCTCAGTGGGGAGCTGGGACTGGGCTCTGAGAAGGCAATCTGAGCATCTCTGCATAGAGGGAGGCGGGGGCCTCCAATCAGCCGAGATGAGCCTGCACTGGGCTTATTTATGCCTCTTCGCTTTGATCGGGAGCCCTGCTTTGAGACGGCTCATGCCTAATTCATGAGAAACTCTGGTAGTCAAAGGGCTGGGCTGTGGCCTGAGGACAGAGAGTGTGAGCAGGCAGGTTTGTGTGCAGGCACACGCATACAGACAGAGGCACACACGTATACATGATCACACACACACACATGCACACACACATTTAAGTATACGACATTCTGTGCACACAGATACTCTGGCATGCACATCTGTGTTCCTAGATGGTGATCATGCATTTGCGCATTAGCACACATACACATACAGATGCAAACATTCATGCCCAAGCACAGGTCTACCTATGCGCAGATGGGCACACTTTCACGCATGTCACATGTACATGAGCAAAATGCTCATTTACATGTGTCATTTACGCTATACACAGTCGGTCATACATGTATGTTCATACTGTCAGCCTTGCTCACACTCTTAGGGCTTCAACAAGTGCCAAGTGTGCCTCTGACAACACTTTATTTCCCCTTGATCTCAATGCACACTGTGCCCTCCCCAGCAGATGCTGTGACCAGCTTCCAGTGGCAGTAGCCATGGGCCAGGGTAAGCCCCCTTTCCTCCTCCCTCCTGCCCGCAGCCTCAGGAGAGACACAGGGAGCTGGCAGAAAGTGCTGGGGCTCGAGCACCCATGGGATGGAGCCATTTTACACTCTAACTTCCTCCTTTATTTCCTCAGGCCCCGCTGGGGCTCATTCCTTTTCTTGAAGTCTCCAAAGAGGCGAGGGCTCAGGGATGAAGAAGCAGAGCCCAGAGCAAAGGGAGATGCACAGGCTTCCAGACTGGTAGAGGGCAGCTGATTAATAAGCCAACAGATGTACTGGCATGGCTCTCAAAGCCTGATGCTTCCAAGGGGTAATTAGAGGACCACATCTCAAAGTATCCCCTGCCACAGCTCCAGCAGCATCGGGAACTCGTTAGATCTCTCTCTCTCTCTCTCTCTCTCTCTCTCTCTCTCTCTCTCTCTTTCTCATCAGGGCCTCCTGTAGTCCAGGATGCTCTCCCACACCCTATGTAACTGAGGCTGACCTTGAGCTGCTGACCTTTCTGTTTCCACCTCCCGAGAGCCCAGACTACAGGTGTGCACCGCTATACCATTTTTTACTCTGCTGGGATCAAACCCAGAGCTTTGTGCTCAGTAGGCAAGCACTGTACCAAATAAGTTACATCCTCGGCCCAGAAGACTCCTTATGAGTCCACCCTAGGCTTCCTGAGTCAGATACGTGTGTGTGTGTGTGTGTGTGTGTGTGTGTGTATGTATGTATGTATGAACACCAGCACTCAGTCTTTTTTGATACCATAGGCTCTGTGGCATCGGACACACATTCAGGTCCCACCACCACTGGTTTAGTACCTAAGTTTTGGAGAAAAGCAGAAGAGGATGGGGCCCAGTTCCTCCAGATGTGAATCCTCAGATGAGCCACTGACCTGTTGGGGCTCAGTTTCCACACATGGATTGGGAATAATTACAGTGTTCATCTCACAGGGTTTGAGAAGGTTAATAGAGGCCATGCAGGGAGCAGAGTCTGGCCCGCTGGGAGTGCTCAGGCTGCAGCCATTGTTACTTATCTAGAAGCACACTGAACCTACTGCTTCTCGGGGTCAGGCAGAGTTCCTTGGCCTCAACTATGATGTCAGAGGGGAAAACAGCGGAACTGAGCCAACACTTCCAAAGCTGGAGGAGGAAAGTCAGGGCTGCGGTGAAAGCAGTCACACGGGCAGGAGACGGGGACTTTCCCTGAAGGCGGTCTAAGAGAAGGGGAGGTGCCTTGTGCTCCTGGAAATGGGTAGCTCATCCACCCCAAAGCAGCCTCTTGGAGATGGAGACCCCAAGCCAAGAGCAGGGTACCAATGGTCCCAGGTCTGACTGGGACTGGACCATCTCTCTCCTCCTGCCTCATCTGACCATTTCCTGCTCATCTTCCTTCAGTGATCCACATGGCTTGCCCCAAAAACTTTCAGAACTTGAGACCAATCTACATGGCTCGTCATCCCAGCTCCCTAGAGTTAACTGGTTTTACCAGAGAGGGACTGAGACCTGTGGTTTCAGGCCCCTGGATTCCCGGTAGTGAGAGAGGGAGGGGCAGAGCTCCCCTCTACTACCCAGTAAAGAGTCCAGGAAGGGGAGCTCCAGGTGACGCACGGAAGAGGAGACTCTCACCTTGAAGAAGGTCATGGTGGCCCCATCCTTGACAGCACCATACTCAATTTTGGTCTGCTTGGCCAGGTCGTCGGCAGAGTCAATGGGAGACTCCATGCGCTCCACGGTCAGGAAGGCAGCCAGGTTGGCCGTGTAGGAGGAGATGATGATGAGTGTGAAGAACCACCAGATGCCGCCAATGATGCGGGTAGACAGGGCTTTGGGCATCAGCTCCGAGCCTGGGAGAAGGGAGGAGATATCATACAGTGTGGAGACCCTGACAGGACCTGGATACTCACACAGGTGCCGGGGCCGTTTCTCCAGACTAGCTGAGCAGTCCCATGGTCCCTCGGTATCGCTGGAAACTTGACTGAAAGGCAAATTCTTTGATTCACCTCAAGAGTCAATAACTGGAGATAGGGGTGGGCGAGAATGGGCAGTGTGTGCACTCAGCCCTTCGGGTGAATCTGATCCAGGCTGGTATTTAATAATTTACACTCTACACACACACACATGCGCACACACACACAAATACAGATACACACACACGCACACACACAGACAGACACACACACGCATATCATTTTGTAGGTTCCTTGAACCCTCTGATGCCTATCTGTGGGCCATGGCATAGGGGTCAGAACCTATGGGTTCTAAAAGAAAATCCTGTTCCCAGTTCTCTGGGTGATCTTAGGCCCAGACAATTCTCTTGCTCTGGAAGAATTGTCCTTCCTCTGCCCCAGCCTCATGGAAATACTGAGATGCTGCAATGGTATAATTTGAAGAGAGATGCGTCAGAAATACAAGCGGTATACAAATATGAGATTGCTGTGAGGCACTTGGCAGGAGAAGAAAAATCAACATTTTGGGAAGCTTTTTGCTGAAATATATCACTCTTCTTCCCCGACCTTGGGCGCGGAGCACAATTCAGATGAAACCCTCTAACTGAAGTAATTAACTCGACGGCTTTCAAGAGATTTAAACAGTGAGCGGCTCCTGAACTTTCTGGAATATTTGGACCTGCAATCTGAAAGCGCCTGCTTTGATATGGATGACTTTTTTTTTTTTCCACCTCTCAAAGAAGTCACTCAAGGGAGAGATTTTCAAATACATACCTAGCTCTCCACCCCCCACTCACCCCCCACCCCATCCAAAACATGCGGGGAACACGCTGGGGCCTGGACTTGAGTAGCAGCAGGCAGCAGCAGAGAAGTTATCACTGCAGCGAAGGGCCTTCTAGGTCCTTCTCAACTGTCACCGAACAAAGATGATGGGCAAAGAAGGAAGGTGAAGCTTCAGGACGCTTGTTAACAGCAGGGACAGATGGAGGCACTTGCCATGAAAGCTGCCTGTCACTCCCCAGCTGCTGGAGCCCACAGAGCGGGGGTGGAACAAGTCTATTTCTTCTTCTGCCACACTAGAGTTCCACAGTGCTTACAGCCCAGTGGACGGCTGTGTGACGGGCAATAGGAGAATGCTCTTCCTTCCTTCCTTCCTTCCTTCCTTCCTTCGTTCCTTCCTTCTCTCCTTCCCTCCCTCCCTCCCTCCCTCCCTCCCTCCCTCCCTCATTCATCTGGCATTTTCATCATGCCTTCTGAAGAGCAGGACTTGTGCTGAGTCTTGAGGTTTCACACAGGGGTGTGAAGGACAAGGGCCTTGCAGTTAGAGTAGGCGCTGTGTAGGTTCCCATCGGGTCATCACCAGCCTTTACCCACTGAGTCATCCTGCTGCATCCTCCCTGCCTTTTGAGGCAGGGCCTTGATTGTCTTGGACTCACAGTAATCCTCCAGTCCCAGTCACCCAAATGCTGGAATCACAGATGCGAGCTACCATGCTCGGCTGTTCCCTAGACATTTAAGCATCTCCAGACATTCCAAAGAGCTCAAGTCATGCTCAGGGCCAGTCACTTTGGAACCCTGGTCTCCAGGATGAAAGACAATCTTCTTCTATGGACACTGTCTCTAATGCACTCAGGCAGAAGCCCCAACCTCAGTCAACCTCCCCTGGCCCTAACCTAACGACCTGGAGTTCTCTTAGTCTCCTAAGCTATGGACCCTCACAGCACTGTTCTGCAGCCGCTCCTGCCCACTCTGTCTCTATGGTCCCAGCCTCCGGCTTGCACGGATCAGCTTTGTTCTGCCGTGGAGAACTGGGGTCAACCCATCAGGCAGCATGTTCTGGTCCATCCCAGCTACAGTAGAAGGTACTGGGAAATGCCTCTCACGTGCCACAGGTTGGGGTGGCTGACCTGCTTCAGAACCTGAGCTGGCTCTCGGCCAGAGCAGCGGAGCAGGGTATGAATCTGGGGCGAAGACACACACCAGGGTATCCTCAGTGTCTCCAACTGTCTGATGAATTAGAGAGATCTGACTCCCAAGGGCAGCTGACTCGAGAAAGGCCCAAGGACCCAGCGGGGAGAAAAGCTACCTGCCTCAGACGAGAAGGCCCAGAGAGGGCAGACACGCACCTTGTTGCATCAGGGAACCCATTCCAAACCAGAAGCTGTTGAGCAGTGTGAAGTTATTCTCCACCACCTCGGAGCCAGGGTTGCAGGGGTGAGCATCGTACCACTCATAAGGGCTGAATCTGCAGGGCAGAGGGAAATGGTGAGACCAAGCTGCAAAAAGCTGCTAGTTAGTAACAAGTACCAGTGTGGCCCACCGACAACTCCAGGGTCCTTTTCTTTATTGTCTGTCTGGAGTGATAGGCAAGGACCAGTTGGGACCGGGTTTCTTCCTGTCCTTTACTGCCAGTGCCCTTTTCTGGTTATAAAGTAATTCCAAAGCACCTTTTCAAATTAAAAGCATGCATGCCCTTCTACCTCGGGAAGCTGCGAGTCATTATCCATGTAGGAAAAACATCAGGCAGGCGCATAAAGGGAAGTCCTCAAGGATGTTTGTCAAAGTGTTGTTTGCAATAGCATGCAAAAAAAAAAATAACCTAAATGTCCTTCAGTAGAGGAATGATTAAATACGCCATGCCACAGCCACACTGAAATATCACACAGCTGGTTAAGAGAACAAATGCTTCTAGATATCCCGAGACAGGGGAAGCTCTTCAACACAGACTGTTGGATGAACAGCGATCAAAAATAAAAACAATACAATCGCATTTCTATAGGTTTCCTAGGGCAGCCACACAGCTCTGTCTGTGAATGTGTATATGAATGTACACTAAGAGGTCTGGAAGTCTCTATAAAAACATCAGTCTGTGGCTCTGGGGAGAGAGCAAGGAGGGCAAGATGGGTTTCAGTCAAACCTGTTGCCTTATTTGGACCACATGGCTCTTTTGAAAATGAGAAGACACATTTGAATTTCTTGTATAATAAAAAACTGAAAAGATGCTCATGATAAAATGTTCAAATAGTATACAGGAATCTGATGAGAAGGCACAAATGCCCCAGAATCCTGCCCCACGGAGAAAACATTGTGGGATTTCATTTCAGATTTTTGTGTTTGAGTATATGAACATAGGCCGGGCAGGAAAATGTCCAAAGCCCCGACTTCACACCATCCCCTTCTAAGGAAGAGGACTCCCAACTGAGGGGAGGAAGCCTGGTGGACTGGCTGATTCCTACTTACAAATGAGTCAGTTTGAAGATGCAGAGAGATGGAGGGACTGAGTGGTTCCTGGATCAGGGCAGTTGTCTGTGTGTGTGTTGGGGGGTGGGGTGGGGCAGGATGGAGGAAGTAAAGAAAGACAGTTTTTTTGAAACCAAAACATATTTTTGTTTCATTTTTTAGTGTGAAGCCCTTTAGGGTAACTCGTGTCTTCCCTTTGCCACTCCCTTCTCAAAGCGGGAGTATTAGCTATCACTCACTGCTCCCAGGCTCAGGTGAGGACAGTCCCATTCTCAGGAAGCAGGATGCTGCCTCAGGCAGGAAATCTCCATGTGAGACTTCACAGTGAGTTGAGGATTGTCAAAGGGAAGGAGAGGAAACTGGTAGAGACTCTAGAATCCACAAGGAAGAGGCTGAGGTTCAGGGGAGAGGGCTGGCAGAGATTTGGGGGAAGGGGATGTAAGAGAAAACCTTTGGAGAGCCGGGTGTCCAGAATGGATGCTGGGCTTGTTTTTGTGGCAGTGCAGACAAACCTGAGTTGTCTGGAGGGCCGGGCCTGGTGGGTGCCAGTGTAGGTAGGAGAGTCCCTGCTTCAGGCCCAGAGTCCACCAGATCTAGGGGTACTGGGTACACAGTGAACTCCCCACTGAGTTCACATAGATTGGAACCTGGTCCAGGTCCACTCGGCTCCATGTTAGAAAAGCAGTGGATTTCAGCAGAGACCATAGGCCACTGGAGACTCAGAGCAAAGCGGGGAATGGACTACCTAAGAAGGCACGGCCCTCGGAGGCCCAGGACTAAAGAAGAAATTATAAAATTTAATTTTATAATTAATTATAAAAGAGTTAAGGCAGGGATCTCACAAAATCTATGGAACGTCAGCCTTTAGCTTCTAGACAGAAACAAAGCTTATAGCTCAGGAAGCCCTGGGACTGATCTGACAGCGAACCGAAGTGGGCTATGATGGTTTGTACTGCGGACCAAGAAACCAGGCTCCCCTGGTACCTCTCCTGGCTGGAGGGCTGGCGTCAGAAGGAAGATGAATTCTGAGTAGTGCTCAGGGGTCCAGCTCTTTATTTATTTATATTATTAAGATCTATATTACATTTATTTGTTTAAGGCACGTGTGGGTATGTGTGCCACGGCATGCATGTGAAGGTCAGAGGATAACTTGCAGGAATCAGTCCTCTCCTGTTGGGTGAGACCCTAGGATAGAACTCAGGTCTTCAGGTTTGGAGCCAAGAGTGCCTTTACCATCTGAGCCAGCTCGTCTGCCCTAGGTCCTGCTTGTAATGTAACACATAGACACAGACAGGTAAGACAGACATACACATACAGACACATACACATACAGACACATACACACACACACACACAGACAGGTAAGACGGACATACACATACAGACACATACACATACAGACACACACACACATAGACAGACAGGTAAGACGGACATACACATACAGACAGACACACACACACACACACACACACACACACAGACACACACAGAATTTTTAACATAAAAAAAATGCCGCATCACCCCAGGAACCTAACATAGAAATTTCTATGTAGAAAGCTGTTACCCTGTCCACACCAGTCCCTCGGAACCGGAACCAGACTGTGCCCTCCAGTGACTCACATGGGTCTTAACACCCTACCCTACTGGTGGGCACTGAAGTTGATCCGGTTCCCACCAATGAGGAAAAAATCTGGGCACTCCTCTGTGGTCAGTGACACCAAAGGGGATCTGGGTCCTCTGGGCTCTGCTATACAGGTATTTAAGGATCCAAGGTACCAGTCGGTGACGTTTTAACAGGACAAGTGCCCAGAGACAGAACTTGCTTATTCTGATAAACGTAGCTGATTCCAGAAGGGGCCTTTTGGTAACAAAATGTTTTCAAAGGCTGAGGTTTAACCAGAAAAAGGATCACAGCGCCGGGCGGTGGTGGCGCACGCCTTTAATCCCAGCACTCGGGAGGCAGAGGCAGGCTGATCTCTGTGAGTTCGAGGTCTGCCTGGTCTACAAAGGGAGTTCCAGGACAGGCTCCAAAGCTACAGAGACACCCTGTCTCGAAAAACCAAAAAAAAATAAGTAAAAAAAGGATCACAGCACTGGGCACCCATATTACAGTGCGGGAGGGGGCAGAAACCTTACAGTGCGAGAGGGGGGTAGGAACCTTACAGTGCGGGAGGGGGGCAGAAACCTTACAGTGCAGGAGGGGGGCAGAAACCTTACAGCGCTGGAGACAAGAGGGAATGGATGAAGGCTGGGCAAGAGTCCCACATGCAGTTCGCTGACCTTGCCTCTCTTGCTCAGCTCTAAGCCTGCAGGTGCCCAGTGGCACCCCCTTGAGCCATCTATGTGTCCTCTAGTTTGCAGCTCCCCAATGCCCAATCCTGTGTTCAATTTAGAATGGGAAATCTTTGTGACTTTGGGTACTGACTTCACCTCTCTGAGCCTCGCTTGGCTTCTGCCTCTGGAACATGGGGATGGTTCTCCCCACCTTATAGGACTACTGTAAGGGCAGACACGATGGTTGGGAGATGTGCTGTACGCATGTTCCATGGGGTGAGCAGTGTACTTAGATGCCTCTGCTCAGCTCTGTGGCCCAGAATTTCCTCCCTCTGCAGGTACCTCATGGCATCCTGGCCACTGCAGAAAACCCTACTTTTCCTAAGCATCCCACACTAGCCTTAGGTGGAGGGGCCCACTCCCCCTGTCTTCCTAGCCATGATGGGGAGGCTGGACACCCAGATGCCTGAAGCGGATGGATGGCCTGTATCTGAGGGGAGAAGAGACACACACATCAAACAGACAGAACTAATGCTGGAAATGCTCCTGCCTCAGAGGGATGGGTGGCTGAGAGGCCACTGGAGCTTCGAGAAAATTACGTTGAGAGCGCGAGAGAGCGGCTCTGCTTTCAAAGGCTTGTTAGACCATTAGTGAGGAGAGGCGTGATGAAGGTCTCTCCGCGCTGGCTCGCTGTTGGCTGGGCTGAGGAGGCAGGGCAGTGGCAGCCTCACCAGGCTCTGCAGCAAAGCCTTGGGAGGCTGGGCGACTTTGCCTCTCACATTTTTCCTTTGGTCTCTCTCTGGGTGGGAGGGGGCAGAGAGTGACAGGCGTAGAGGCGAGGGGGGCTTTCAAAGGAAGCTCTGGAGGAAAAAGGCGAAACACCAGGTCCTTGGATCTCAAATTGCCTTTCCAGAGAAGTTTCTCTTTACACCATGTTAGGCTTTAGAGAAAAAAGGACCCAGGGCAGGGGCAAGGATGGGGCCAGGCGGGAGGGGCAGAGAGCGCAGCTGGGAGGGGGTGGGGAGCTTGAGATGGGGGTGTGTGTGTCAAGCAGTGGCCAGAGGTATGAATTAAGGCAAAACCTCAGTGGAACTAAGTTCACTTTCTAGATGTTTCTTTCACGTATGGCTTATCTGGCCTCAGCAGGTCTTGGGTGCCTTTAAGGGAGGCTGCCAGAGAAAACGGAAAGGTGGCAAGGCGCAGAACTGGGTGCTTGGTAGACACTAGGTACTTGATAAACCTGGGCTAATTCTGCTTCCCTAGTGACCCACTTAGCAAGGGTGTACTTCATCTGCTTCCAATGAACAACGTGACAAGGCTAGGCTCAGTGCATGCGTGGATTCCCAGCAGGAGGCACACGTGTGAATGAGGTGGCGTGTAAGCATGAATCCCATTCATGCATGTCTGTGTGCCATGTTTCTGCATGTGGCGTGTGCACAGCTGGTGGTGATTGGTTCTCCAGATGTGTGGACGGCTTAGATATAATTTGTTTTCCGTGTTTTGAGCCATTTGTTAGGCCATGCAATGTGCTTGGGTCTGGTCTGCCATCCCAGGTACCCAGGTCAGGTAAACAATGGTCAGGCTTCTCCCAACCTGTTTTGGGCACCAGAGTGCAATTTACCATATCTTAGTCACGAACACCAGAGGGAGGATCGGATGATTCAAGCCCAGGGAGCCATGGGACATTTTCTAAAGGGACAAAGGATCTGAACCACAGGGAGGAAGAGTATGCCAGGTGGTTCAGTGATCCAAACCTTGGGCTTTCTGAGCCAAGGGGCACTTGCCTAGCTTCCCATGCTTTCCAGCTTGTCCCAGAGCTTCAGCCAAGGCACAGCCTTACCTGGCGATGACGAAGAGGACACAGCTGACACCCAGGTAGGCGAGGAGCACGTACATCCAGATGTCCGGGGAAAGGGGGTTGAGGAAAGAGAAGACACTCGGGTTGGTGCCATTGGGCTTGCGATATAAGATGCTCACTCCGAGGGTCATAAAAGGCTTAGAGAAATCGATGGCCTTCTCTCGGACATGGGTGATGGTTAGGGGAGCCACGGCCAGATCTGCTTTCTGTAACAAGACCACAGGCAGACAGACAATGAGCAAAACCTTGGGCTAGAGGTGATGAAGAACTCCCTTATGGGACACAGACTGAGGTGGTGCGTTAGTCCAAGGTTACTTAACCACTCCTGTGTGTGTGTGTGTGTGTGTATGTGTGTGTGTGTGTGTGTGTGTGTGTGTGTAAAGTGTTGAGGCCAGAAGACAACCTTAGTGTCATTTCTCAATTGCAATTGACCCTTTTTGTGTGTGTGAGCTTTAGTCTTTAACAGCCAAACCATCTCCCCAGCCCTGACCTCATTTTCTAAGGCAGACTCTCTCACTGGCCTGGAACTCACCCAGTAGGCTCGGTTGCTTGGCGATCAAACTCTAGGGATCTGCCTGTTTCTGCCTCCCCGGCCCTGGGATTCTAAGTGCATGCTATCACACCTGGTCTTTCCCCCCACATGAGTTCTGGGGACAGAACACAGGTCCTTGGCTGGAGCTTCTCTCCAGCCTATGTATTCAGAGTTCAGTTTCAACACTGACGAACCCTCACAGCTGGACCATGCCCAGGGTGGGGAGGAGACAAGGATGCACACACGTTAATACAGGACAACTTAAGCTTTCTTCTCCAGTGGCTGATGCCTGGAAGAAGAGGGCTGCGACAAACGCAGAGCGAGAACGAATACAATAAGGTCCCTTTTCAAGATGGGACGGTCTCAGATGAATTCAGCTTCCCCCTTTCAATCACTTCCTGACCACTTCAGCCCCCTCAGGATGCTCATTAGATCCTAAAACCTGCTCTAAAACTAGCTAGACAATGATAATGCCCTCCTTGGGAGTGGGGAGATGCCTCAGTTAGTCAAATGTCTGCTCTGCAAGCATGAGAACCTGAGTTTGGATCCCCAACACTCATGTAAAAAGCTGGTCACCAAAAGAGTCCATAATCTCGGCACTGGAGTTACAGGCCCCAGAGCTCACTGGCCAGCTAGTCTAGCTGGTTGATCAGTTCCAGGTTCAAAGAGAGATCCTGTCTCATAAAGTGGAGCGTTACGGAAGAAGACAACGATTTTGATACCCGCATGCACACACAAACACACACACACACACTCAACACACAAACACACACACGCACGCTACACAGAATACATACAAACAAAACCAAACAAAAACACCCTCTTTAAAGGGTGTGGGTGGACAAGAAAACTGAATGAGCAAGCCCAAGTGCAGAAGTTCACCTCTCTGGCAGAGGTTACCATGGAGGCAGGAGAGGCAAGGCTAGAGGTATGATATATTCATACAGGCCATTGCATCACAAACTTAATGAAGGGGGTTCTTGAATTTGATCTGGGGTTTTCCTATTTAAAAATTAAAAAAATCCCCCCTCCTGCATCTTATCTGCAGTCCTCTTAACACGAGGTCCCTTTAAAGACCGTCCTGTCCCTAAGCCCATTTCTTCACCCCCATGGCCTCTTTGTCTAATTCTTCCTATTGTTCGTATTATTTCACCCACGCTGCCTCTTCGAGATCCCTCCCAGGCAGTCTTGATTCTCGATTCTCATGAAGTTCACTCTTTCCCAAGGGAAGGTCTGCATTGCTCAGTGTGCAAGGCTGCATGTCAGCAAGCATGCAGCTGCTTAGATACACATTCACGGGCTCCTTGCATGCTAGAGCTGTGGCTGGCCCACTGTTCTCTCCTCGTCTCAAAGCCCCTTCTTAGACTCTGCAATATTTAGTAGTGCTTCCCTGGAAAAGGCTGCCTCTTAGGCTCCTGTAGGTATTTGTGTCTCAATTATGAATCAAGTTACAACTTCCCTTCCGTACATAGGCACAACTGAAGGGAAGTGCTGAAAACCTTTTGCCAGGAAGGAGCATGTTTCTGAAAGACCCTGCCAAGGCAATGCCTCTAGGCAGCCACTTGCTGGATTGACCCATTCATCTGCCCACTGACTCATCTATTTATCCATCCATCCATTATCCCTCCACCCATTCTTCCATCTGCCCACATGCTGGACCACCCATCAGTCCATCCATTATCCATCCATCCTTCCATCCACTCCCTACCCACTTATCCATTCATCCATCCATCTATCTGTTTATCTATAAATCTACCAACCCAGATACCCATCCATCCATCTATCCATCCACCAGCCCACTCATCTTTCCACCCACCCTCTCTATTTTATGAGATCCGCCAGGAACTACAGAGACAGAGCTGTCACTAACAGGTATGATTTCTGCTCTCATGGCTCTGAAGGTTTAGTAGGGGACATGTGTGCCAATCAAAGTGTTCATCGTGTCAGCACTAACTCAGACGTCACTTATCTCAGAATAGGAACAAGTACTTTAATAGTGATCACATCAGAAGAAACGGCTAATATGTGTGAAATCCCAGGACAGACCACTTGCTGAGTGTTCCATGCTTGGTGTGGGAGGGGAAACTAGGAGATTCTCTGATACTGGTATCCCCAGCGTTTCTCCTTCTAATGCTACCCCTACTCCCCCAACATGGATACTCGGGGCCAAAGATTTGGTAAACTTCAAAATCCAGGAAAATGCCAACAAGAGGGTCCATGGAGTACAGGCACCTACCACCAAGACTGGTGACAAGTTGAGCTGGATCCCTAGAACCTACCTATATGGTGGAAGCGGGGAACCAGGTCCCAAAAGTTGTCCTCTAAACTCCAAGCGTGAGACATGACATGTATACATGAGCATGTGCCCACATGCATGTATGCAATAAACAAATAAATGTGAAACAAATCAACCCCAGGGAATATGGGAAGGTAAGGCTAAGGAAAAGGCTCAGTACACTGAAGCCTCCTTTTATAGATTTTTGAGTGCGTGAGTTAGAACGTACCTGGCTTTAAAGGTACAGAAATAGGGACCAGGCAGCTGCATTAGCTCCTGGATCCCTCTCAATTAAGAGCATGAACAAATGGATAGGGGGAAGAATGCTTAGGAACAGTAAAAACCGTCTAATACACACTTGATCAAGACATACTACGCCCAGACACTGGCCTAGTTGGGATACAAGAACAAACTAGAGACCTGGTACAGGAGTCCTTGCTTTAGGTACAGACATGATTCCTGGGTAGCAAAACAGTTGAGGTGAGTGCCCTGAAGGTCTCCTTCAGTCCTGAAGTTCTAGGCTCTTCTACAATGATGGAAGGGGAGAGAGATGTAGTGGTGTGTGAGTCTAGATTCCTGCCATCCTTAGCTCAGTTCCTTCAGTTCCAAACAGACCCTGGGGATGCTCTGTTTGACTGCAAAGGTAGAATGCCTTGGTCTCTGAGAACGGCCTCTGGGTTTGCAGCAGCTTCTTAGACAGAACTTCCAAGTCAGTGGTGGAGGGTCATCCGTGGACTCTTGACAGCAAGCTGCACGAGATCAAGGTGTTTGCGCAAAATGTTTATTCAGCAAGAAGGCTCCAGGGGCTGAAGAGGAAGCCAGGCACAGGCCCCAGAGCAGTCTCTTTCCCAGGGCCCTCAGCACCTCCCTTCCACTCTCCCCGCTTTCTGTCTCTAATGGGCTTGGGCAGCAGTTGTGTCCATGGCATTATGTGCCTACGGCAGCAAGGTAATTGGCCAACGTGACCCTCTCTGGGAGTTCAGAGGAGCGTTCTCCCTTGAGCTTCAAGAAAGCTGGCATTCTCCACTTCATTTTTGGCTTAGGCAGAAAATACTATATTTCACTGTTGGTAACGATTTCCCTGAAAAAGGCATTATTTTGTCCAACTTCCCTTGAAAGACTGGAACAGATGTCAAGCCTTCGCGGTTTCGGTTCATTACTCAGAATGAAAGGCCCAGTCTTGGCGGCTCTTCCCACTCATGCATACTTCTTCCAGCGTGATTCACGAAATCACAGGCTGTCAGAGCTGGACGAGAGGCCTTCAGAACATCTGCTCCAAACCCACATTTTAGTACAGAGGGAAACTGAGGCTTGGAGAAGTTTCTTCTTTCTTCTCACGTTACAAAAATCATAACCTCGAACAAAACCAAACAGTACTTTGACCTGCCCCCCCCCCCCAATACCTTCACTCTCTTATAGGGGGGCATTGTTCGCCTCCTGTCTCGCTAAGTTCCTCTCTGTATATCTTCTGAATTTTTAGGCCAGGTCCAATGCCTTCTGAAGACATTGTTTTATCCTTATAAGTAGGTTTCCACTTACCAAGGTTTTGTCGTAAGGCACCCAGTCCAGCCCTGCTCAACCCTCCCCCTCCATGCATGAAGCCATCTGACCTTGGTTCCAGCCCAGAACCTACGTGGCTGACAAGAAGTACTTACCCAACTCCAGCTCTATATTTTGGCCCTTGATAGTCAGTTGTCCTGACTTTAGCCTGAACCCTATTATAGGACCCTTGAACTTGTTCCTATAATAAAACCTTGCCAACTCCCATCAGGCTAAGAACAAAGATCTCACGGTCTTAGTTCTGGCAACTTGTCACCAACTGTTCTTTCCTTAGGACAAGAAGTCTTCTTTGGAGACTAAGGTCTAATCCCCAGGGTCCCTGCTCACTCCCTGGGTTTGGTGGTCTGTTGACACTTCCTGTTGGATTCTCCAGTATTCACCACTGGATTCTGTATCTCTGTTCTTACAGTGTGCCTATATGCCCAGACAGTCAACTGATATATTAAAATATTAAGAGCTGCCATCATTACAGGACGCTGCCTACAGGCCAAGCATCGTCAAGTGCCTCATGAATGCCTCCCTAGAGCCCCAGGGGGCAACAGACATCACCACACTTTAGATGAGGGATTTGGTGTCTAGAGCAGACAGGATGCTTGTTCAAGCTGGTGAGTGGCTGAGCCAGTTCTAGTACTCGATTCATTATGGCTTAAAAACACAACATTTTACCACACTGTTGTCCAAGCCAAGTAGAGTGGGATGATGTGGCAGTGGCTATAGCCTTAATTACATTCTTCTTCTCTGACTGTGAGCTAATTCAGAATAAGGTCTTGCAGATATTATTCTTGCAGAACAAAGTCACCAAGTTAGGAGGGCACCATCCTGAATTAGGGTGGCCCCTC